ATAGGTATGTGCGCAGGCACGTAGTGTTTCTTTACAAAGTGATATCGCCATCTACTGGCCTGGCATGTATAATACAGCATTTTTGTCATTTTCGCAGATGTGTGAACAGTAAATGTTTCGACAACGTTGTTGTCTGTATGTGAATTATTCAAAAACGCAAAAAGTAAAATCTTCTGTTTTAGTACATCGTTGTCATGTAAACATACATTGTCATGTAAACGTATTCACATCTACATTTACTGTACAGTCTTGCGTAAAATATGTATCTGGTCTCAGACTTGATTGTAGGAAAAAAAATAACAAAAATCTGCCTACGCTTCATGCTTTTTTTCTAAAAATCATAAATTTTCTTATTATTTTTCTTATGATTTACAATATCCATGAGATTGGGTTGGAACTACACTTTAAAGAAAAACTTACATTTCTTGTAACATTTCATTAGTATTCTTGAGATAAATCTAAGATGGTATTTAGCAGAGTGAGATATTGCCTGTCATCCATCGCTAACTGACCTAATTTACTGTAGGTGCCACGATTTAGTGTTTAATCCATCTGCTCCGCAAGCTGATGTTTAGAGTAAGACAGCCTCAAATCCTATTGGTTGGTTGAACAAATAATGCTACAATGCTTGCGGCCCAGCCCTCTCTCTGACCTTTAACGCGATGCTAATTGGCAGCCAGAGATTAAACATTCAAAACATTCAGAGTATTCCCATAAATAACAGCTCCAGGAAAAACTAATTGCCTGGATAATTCCAGCTGACTTCAGCTCACGAGTTTCTGACGCTCTTAAATATTCCTCCCTGATCCCTTCTGACAGACTGAAGAGAAACACGCCAACAAGACGCTCTGGCTGGCATGATCAGAACATTTATATGTGTTTGTGCACCATCTTTATATGACGTAAAGAGGTTAATCTCAAGTGGAATGAGCAGATATCAAAGAAAGACGAGACATTAAAGTTGTGTACTAATTTTCATTTATAATATGCACTGTAATGTATGTACTTCACTGCTGATAATGAAAGTACAGTAGAGCCCAAAACTAAAAGATCAAATAAAAGGAATAAATTTGATTTAAATGTGGAAATAAAAAGGAAAAGAGAACAAAGAAAGAATCTACGTGCAGTTTAATAATCAGATGTGACACTGACCATGTGAATGTCTTTGTACAAACTTGTGGAGTTCAAGAGGGACATACCAAATAAATTCACATTCATTTTTATTTTTTAATATATATAATATACAGTATATTAGTGCTGTCAAACGATGAATCGTGATTAATCGCATCCAAAATAAAAGTTTTTGTTCACATAATATATGTGTGTATACTGTGTATATTTATTATGTATATATAAATACACACACATGCAGTATATATTTAGAAAATATTTACATGTGTATATACATTTATATCCTTATATTTTATATTATATATAAATATATTTAATATATAAACATAACATATTTTTCTTAAATATATACATGCATGTGTTTGTATTTATACCTCTGCTTTTCACACAAAAACTTATTTTGGATGCGATTAATCACGATTCATCGTTTGACAGCACTAATATATATATATATATATATACATACATACAATTTCTGGATAAATCTGTTTTGTTTTTGAATAAAATGAACTATAAAATAGAGCAATTTCATATTTATTTCTCTCGTTTTCACTTTCCAAAAAAAGACAAAATGATCACAAAATGAAAAGTAAATGTACATTAGATGTGTGAATGATGGATTATTTGCATTTATGTTCTTTGTGCTGAATGATGGGAAACGTAGTTTTACATATTCGTATTGCTATTATGCCTTGTCATGTTATTTTCAGCATACTATGATTAGGTACGTGCTAAATCTAATCTCACATGCTAAACAAATAGAACTAAATAGAATGTGAATTGGGATAGAAATGGATGGATGGATGGATGGAAATAACTTCAACATGTCTGTTAGCCTACTGTTTGATTAGTCTGACCCCGATGTAAATGATGTTATGGTCTTAGGTACAAAAAAAGCCAAATATCATTTTAAGGCCAGAAAGAATCCTAAATGCAGTGTAATAAATTAATTCGACAACCCCATCTTTAGTGCCGACCATTTTTAGGCAACTGAACCGAAGCATAGTGCATGATGCAAGTATGAAGCAAAGCCAATATTGCAATATTTCTCTCTTTTATTTAACAGCAGAGCACTGTGATTTCCAGCTGAATTCGTCTTCCAATTTTCTCTCAGACCTTGCTGATCAATCCTGCTTTATTCAGGACTGTGTTCACACCACCTGTGGCAGCTCATCTCAGCCCGTCTCCAGGGTTATGAGCGAATCCACTGCAATCAAAGCCATTAACTGCAGCCTGCTTTCATCAAGCTAAACGCTGGTAATAAACCACGACCTGCGAGAAAAATACAGCGCTCATTTGAGGAGAGCTAGGCTGACTCTATGCAGAAAATAAAGTCATTTCTGGGTTACTATGTTGATTTTTCCTTTAATAACTGCCAAAAATTATAAAATGGTGGCAAATGAGAACCATTAAATCAAATTTACATGAGGTAGATCACATTAACGTCCCATATTACTTCTCTAATATGACTAATTTCTGTGAAACAGGGCATTAAAGGGGAAAAATATTTCTCAGGATGTTTTATCTATTGGTTTAATAAGGACCGATGTCAACGGGAAAGGAAGTTATTTCATTTTAACGGATGATTACTAACATGCACAAAGTAAACGCTCATAAGATCTGAAACACGCATTAAGAAAAATGCAAGAAGCTTGTGAATAACAAACACTCTTGAAACTGTGTGAAGAATGTGTCTAAGTTGGAGTTTATTCAGTGGATGGTGCTATGTTGTACATTTGTCTTTTTTTTCAGTGATGGCAAAAGAAAAAGGGGTGTGATGAAAAGAAAGAGAACCTCTGAGGACAAACGTATGATTTGTTTCTTTTCTTCACCCCAGACTAGCATAGGAAAGGAGTGCCACAATGAAGAAAACAACACACTGAACGAACTACAACACCTCAGTCTCTGTACAGGATACTATCTGAACTAATATAAAAGCATAACATTTTAAAACAGACATTTAAAAACTGGACGTGCTGGACTCATCAGTTTGACGTGGGGCAGTATGCGTTACGCCACCGGCAGTGTTGATGCACAATATAAAATCCTCAAATTCCCACTTTGATTTTCTAGAATTGAATTACCGCTCCAGAATTGTCAGTCGTGACCTTAAAAGTCATTCCGAGGCATTTGAATGTCTCAATGAATGACTGAGATTAATTTTCATTTGCTGTAGAATCCGCCTGATCGCTTTCAGATTCACGCTCGGCACAATTAATTACCATAATTGCTAATCAGCTCCATTCCGGGTTAATTGATTCCAATTGATCTAAAACCACTTCAGGTTGTGTGTGGATGCTCGTTTTGAAGGCTTTGCAGATCTGCTATAGACCTCATGGGTAAGAACATACTGCCCCCTCTAGTAGAAAAGTAGAAATATACTGAAAATGAGCAAAGTTATCCCTGCAAATCCCATTTAAAAACTGGTGGGAGCTGGTGTTGGGATTCCGGATCTAATACAAAAACATCAATGCTGCCTTTAAGAGAGCAGGGCATCTAAAATGCAAAATACACACACAAACGAGAAACAAAGCTGATGAAAATAAATAGAAATATCATAGAGTGTAGTTTCACTACAATACCCCACCCCATCTTCATCGGACCCCCAATCCATGATGACACAGGACGACGTTACCAACAAAACAAAAGAGAAATTATACAAGCCTTCAACAAATATGCAAAGTAACTTTAAAACACAAGAGAACATCTGAAATTGCTCCAGCATTCTGAATGGAAATAACACATTCTTTTTACACAGAGAACAAAATAATACTTTCACATTTAAGAGGAACATAAAATATGGGACTTTACAACAGGATGGACTTCTGGACTAAGAACAGCTCACCCAAAAATGAAAATTATGTAATTTACTCTCAATTTACTCATGTTTTTCCAAACCTTTCTTTCTTCTGAGGAATTCAGATGTTTAGCAGAATGTTCAAGCTTCTCTTTCCATACAATGAAAGCAAAAAGGGTTCCAAAAGTTCCAAAAATGAGCACTATAAAAGTGTCAAAAAAGCAGTCGTGTACCATAATCAAAGTCCTAGGACATCATATGATGGTTTTAAGGATCAATTGCCATTTAATCACTGAAATCTTCCCCTGCAATGCTCAAATCTTATTTGCATGTTCAAACATTATCTATGTTAAACCCGTCAAATTTGAATGCATGTGAATGGAAATTAAATTATGGAATTATAGAACTCAAAGGAATGGTTCATCAAAAATTCTATCATCAATTTATCAAATTTGTATGACTTTCTCTTGTGTGGAACGCAAAAGAAGATATTTTGAAGAATGTTGGTAATCAAACAGTTTTGGTGACTGTTGATTACCAAAAATCCTCAAAATATCTTTCAAAAAGGTAAGTCATACAGGTTTGGAACAACATTGAGTAAATGATGACAGAATTGTCTTTTTTTGGGTGAACTATCCCTAAATTTAGGTCTTTCACTTGCTTGAAAAAGAATGGAAAAGAGCAGTGTGAACATTCTGCTAAACTTCTCATTTTTGTTTCATGGAGAAAAGAAAATCTTAAAATATAACTTTTGCATCACTAAATGACGAATTTGAATTTTGGGTGGGTGAACATCCCCTTTAAGTGTTTCAGATTATGACAGATAATCAACCAATTGCAAACAAATATTAAAAAAAATAAATAAAAATCAACAACAAAATGACACTTTAGAAAATTCCCGCCGCCCAGTCGTTATAATGTGAACTATCCCTTTGGAATCCACCCTAAAAATACCGTATGAATTTGAGACAAAAAGTTGCTCTTTAGCCACTGTTTTAGAAAAGGATTTTGTAACATGGTTCAGTCCGTCATGGAATGTCTTTGACGTGGTGGAGGTCAGGCAGGTTTTTTGAAAAAGTCTGCCTGAGGTGTTGAGAAGTGGATGAGAACTGGTCTTTGAATTCTGCTTGTCGACGCTGCACAGGAGTAGCTGCTGGATGCTCAGTTTGCAGTATGAGTCGCTTGAGATCTGACAGATGTTTAGGGTCTGGAAAGTGGTGTCTCAGACGGCAATGACTGGGTGGGACATGTGCTGCTACAGGAAGTGTTTGTCCGTTAGGGGAACTCGTGGGTTGATGGGAAGGGGCTGGTTGTGAGGGATCTTGCGTTGTTTTTTCACATTCATAAACCCGACTGGTCTCATTTTTTTTCTCCCTGCATTGATGTGAGATCAAAGCCTAATCAACAATCATGCGAGACAAACAAAACAGGACAGCATTTCTGGTAGAGCAAAAAGTAAACAATCCCACGGGTCACAGAGTCAGTGATGACAACCGGGATGGCCTGCGGCATGCAGACCTGAACGACATGGAAATAATGGTGGATGAGTGAAAGAAAGAGAAGTAAACATTGACGGGGCGAATGGGGTGAACTGGGTCTCTGCACGCACAGCACAGGGCACTGTGGGAACAAACTAGCATGGCAGCATTACCCATAATCCTCTAGGAGCTCTGTGTCTGTATACATACCATCCTGACAGCTGGTTAAACAGCACGAGACGCCCAGTGCCTCACACAAACACACTAAAAGGCCTAACGGACTTGTTTTTCATTTTTATTACATACATTTTTGTAAGCCAAGTTCTATACAGTCAAAACAAGAGATCAAAAGCAATCTAAAATCCAAACATTCTGTTGATTCTTTTATTTATTTATTTTTAAAAATGTTTTGAAAATTTTGGGGTCGGATAAATGATTCTGGAAACAAAGTGTTGGTCTTTATCAGTGTTGTTTTTGTCAACTAAAAGTAAAACTATTTGGTTAATTTAAAAAAAAGCTGAAATAAAATAAAATAATTTATTTTAAACTAAAAAACTTAGCAATAAAAATAAATGTTAAAGTACTAAAATTACTGAAAAGAAATCTAAAAATAGAAATAAATATATATTAAAATAAATATTTAAACATCAAAAAGTAATAAAAATGACAAAAGCACATAACAAAATTGCTAAAAAATAAAACTGAAAATGTTAAATAAAGGCTAATACAAATTTGTTGTGAATGCTATAATAGTGTATTTAAAAAAAATACTAAAATAGCATAATAGCATACTAAAATAGTTCTTCATCATGGCCCATAAAATTAGTAGTAAGTAGTAATTTAGTAAAATAAATGTATTACAATTTTTATAGGTGGCATTAACAACACTGAATATTAATATCATCTAATTAATATGAGGTATCATCTAATATCTAATAAATTTGAATATTAAATGAAATTCTGCATCTTCTTTGCCACCTCAATTGAAATTCTGGAGCTGAACTGGGATGTCACTGACCTGCTACAAGCATGTATAACGGCTGTAAATATGGCAGTATTAGAGTGCTTTCTAAGGGACTGAGGTTTTTATTGGGGCACAGTTAATGGTGACAGTAAATCATACAGTTTAAGTGTCTGTGTCTAATTCTCTGAGGTTCTCCTTTAGGACTGCTTTCTGTTGGTATGAGGTGTGCTACGGAGGGTTTCCATCGTTACCATCTTATTAAGGGATCTTGCTTTATTTGTAATGGTAAGCCTGCAGTATTCCTCAATTTTGAAATTGAGGAATTTTTAAAAAGTCAAATTTAAAAAAAATTTTAAAGACAAAATCTTAGAAATGCTGTAATGGGTTTAATGCATCATGGGAGATGGTGTGGCTGTATGGCTGGTGGGAGAAGAGATTTAAACATATGCCATAAACACATCAAACTCTAGTGCTATTAGAGAGCTACACTAAGAGCCGCAGAGAGAGAGAGAAGACACTATCACTGATATAATAATGTATTTGTGCAGCAGCAATGCTGGTAGAGGTGCAATAGTGAAAGGGAAGGCAGAGTATGGGATGAAATCATAGATCTGAAATGTATATCCTAAAACAGAGGTCAGCAATCTTTTTGACATGAAATCATCTTGAAATCACTTTGACACCCTCACAATTAAATACATTAAATACATTATCCATTTCTATGTGGAAAATAAAGTGAAATTCACTAAAATGAATTTCTACACATTTAAAAAAAAAAAGATTTGAAAGAAGCATGCCTACAGTTGTTTTTGCACTTTAAATAAAGTAAGAAATCCAGAACTGTAGTTTTTTTTTTCAGCCATATGAATAAAATATGCTCTAATTATACTGCAGAGAATATACGTAATCATGTGCATGTCTGCAGCAGATATTATTTTGTAGATTTGCTGCAGTCACTTATCATTTTATCACTGAATATTCACAGCAGTCGTCTGTTAGCAGCTTTAATTCAAAATGAAAAATCAGTTGTTTTCCCACCTTATTTAAAGGGTAAAAAAAATAACACAATAATCATAATCATATTTTTTCAGGTTTTCGTCTTTTAGCAAACTGCACCTTCCAGCTCAGAATGCAGCACTTTCCTCTCACTCCTTTCATTTTTCCAGTGTTTGGCTTCTCATATTGATCATAACTGAATAAAACATGCTGAGTGACGACTAGAAAGCATTATCGCAAGATGTTTTTTTTTTTTGGCATGCAGATCACTTCAGTATTTCTAACATTTTTAAAAATGCATGTATATAATATTAATCTCTCTAGCTGTAATCGTTCATGTGCCGAAGCGGGTCTCATATTCAGTCAGGTTGTGCGGGAGGAAACTAACCTGTGTCTCACGCAGGAGTTACTCAGGGGTGATCTCTGTTTCCTGATGCACCACCACTTTAGTCACAGACATGTCAGGGTGCTGCTCCTTCGCCTCCTTTATAGCCTGAGCAAGAGCCTGGAGAGCAGAGAGGACAGTACTTAAACCAGACCACTAAACGTATTTCTGTCATGACAACTCTAGGAGGGATTGGCATGGTAATGTACATGACAAGGTCAGATTGAGTTAGACCTATAGGACTGCGCCATCTAGAGTTTCATGCCAGAACTCTGTATACATTTAAAGGCCCCATGAAATCAAAACTGAAGTTTTGTAGCTTTTAATCCAAGCTTTGAGGTCTTATATATCTGTTATTTATCAGATATATGCATTTAGTTTTTCTCTTTCAGGAAATAGACCAATACTGATGACATATTCTCCTTCTCCGAGCCTTTCGGACGTTTTTATCCTATAAATCCTGTCTATGAGAATGTCTGTAAAACATTCTGCGTCTACTGTGTGGCCGACATGATTATTAGCTGTAGGTGCATTTCACCTTATCATGGTCAATCTCAGTGTCTCCAGTGATCACGATTCTCTTCTCGATACGGGTCTCTGAGATCCCGCCTTTCACCATCTGAGCAGAGAAAGGGAAGAGAACGAGAGAATGAGAGAGCCAGAAACACAGTGAAGTGAATATCTCATCTGTGCAGTACGCCAAATCTTCACTAACTTTGTAAGATGCTGTGGAATGGTGATATAAATTGTAATTAGCAATGGCTTTATCTTATATACGCAGCCTCTTGGCACCATTGTGGCCTAACTTGCAGTGTGCAGTATTGTATAGTTTTCTGCAATTATGTTTTGCAGAAAGTGCTCATCTTATTATTTTAAGTTTTACATTGTGCTTAAATAGGACCATTTAAGATCAATCGGTTGTTCTTTAAGCAGCAGTCACTGCAGGTTTAGGCATAGCTTCATGTACCTTGGTGATCTGGGTGGTGGTGGTGGTGCTGACGGTCTCTGAGGTGATGGTCTGAGCACTCAACAGCATCCCGGACTCCTTCTCTGAAAGCGCGTTGGGCTATTAGCAAACAAACACATGTGCTTAGAAATCTCTTCCATTACATCCCTCATTTATTACTTACTGTACATCCAAAGCCATTTCCTATGGAGCCCCAAAGGGGGCACAGTGACGGAAAAAACAAGAGATGGTACGTTTACATTATAATTAAATGCTTTTGCATTTGCTTCTGGGTGACCCCTAGAGGACGCAGTGTCTTGTTCCCTACTCAGGGAACCATGGTTACATAAGTAACCTGAGACGTTTTCCCTATGTATTTTGACAATTTTTTGATTTTTTGGCAACCAAAATGATTCGGCCGAAATTAGCAAAAAAAACTCTTTCGGTGTTTGGCCAAATAATTTTGGTTGCCGAACATTCGTGCATCCCTACTTTTTTTTAATTGCCAATCTTTGGTTTTCCAAAAATAAATAAACAAATAAATATTATTAATTGATTTAAATAATAATAATAATAATTTTGATTTATAAGTTTCATATGCTAAAAGTGAATTAGTAGCACTTTTTTTTAATTATTGGACTTATTTTACAGTCCTGTTCCACCTGAACACTGGGTATGTACTCTGTGAGTTTAGTGTAAGTGCACATAGAGTAAAATAGTGCAGCCAACGAGTTTGGTATGCTATAAGTGAATTCAGGCATTATAAAGATGGATAATTTTTGGCTAAAGATGGAAAATTGGAAAAAATAAATCTTCATTATTACAGCAGTGGGACCTCTGGGATGCTGGTTAGAAACTCTTTAAAAAACTGGCCTAAGAAAGGCAACTAATGGATCTTAATGATAAGTTAAACTCACACAGCAATGCACTGTGAAACTGACAGCACTGCAATAGATTACAACAGACACTGAACACATACAGTGCAGAATAGGAAGTTATGAAAGCGATATATTCTGTTCTGAATACAGATGTGTGCCGATACATGCACTGTTAAATATCCAATATTCTTGATTATTACTATTATTAACAAAATGATTATTACTGGGGGATGTGGTTACCAATATGTATTGATGCCGATACATTTTACATCCCAATGCATCCTAGTTCATTTTTCATTGCATGTGTGACATATTCAGTCAACAGAGAAAGACTAACCAAAAATTATGTCAGAAACACACAGCAACAAGGTTGATTCAAAGAGCGACCGGGCTCACCTGTGCAGACTCATATGTGATGGTCTTGGTCTCTGTATGCACAATCGGGATGTCCTTGCTGGCGATTTCGCTGCGAAGGGAGTTGGTGACATCAGAAATGGTGATCGTTTTCGTCTTCACCACAGGAGACTGTGAGAGGGGTCAAGACACAGTGGAAAGTGAGATTTCTAACTACATTAACTTCACCTCACACACATCAACAGTTACTAAACACCATCTGGAACCTTTGGCCAAGCCTTTGTACTGTAAGACTGATATTCTGTGCTGACTATCTCAGAAAAAAGCTGCTAGACAAGAAAAAATGTTTAGCCTGGTGAGACTTGGAATGGTTGGCAAAAAAACAGTTACAAAATACAGCCACTTCAATGATTTCATATGTACTTTATCACCCTTTCCAATAAAAATATTTTGTTTTATGGTGCGTAAAAGAGTAAATCTATCTAAAAACGCTTATAATGGCACACTGACTGGATTTCTTAAACATAAATGGTATAGAATTGCCACCCAGCTGAGTTAATAATAAAGGCAGAGAAAAGTGTGCTGAAAGTAGTGCTATCCAATTAATTAAAACATATCGCAATCACAATATCGACTACAATAAATCTACAATATCGCAATTATGGTATTGAGTAATGCAGGAACACAGTTCTGGATTTGTAGTATAAGAAATAATTGCATGCTTTTGCTCCACATATAGCGAGTATATTAACATAAATTACAAGGAAAAGAATAGAAAATTATGATTTCTGTCATAATCAGTCTCAGTTGGAATTAAATTATGCTTCACAGAAGTGCGTCCCAGTGGAGAAAAATATCAGGAAGCTCCACAAACACTGTGGAGAGTGAAGAGTGTTAATTCTAAAACTACATACACCCTCTTGACTGAGAGGACCTGAATGAAGCCTTCATCACGCCTAGAAGCCCACCGCTCCTATTACCCACAATGCTTGGCTCAGATATGCAGATTATGCATTTCAAAACCATCACAAATTAGTATGGTTTGGCTTTTTAATCTTTTATCTATAGGCACTCGGCCAAAAAAGCTTTTGATTTAGGAACGTTTGGCACATTGTAAGTCAAATATTATTTTCATCCAATAATGGCGACGTCAGGTTGAGAGATGATGATGAGAATGAACGCTCTGGCAAATTCAAGCCAAATCGTGGGCTCACCATGTGGCGCTTTCAAAAGAATAGATCGGTGTGGAAACTCGCATCAGTCTGCAAGTCTCCTTTTACATAGTTATTAGTGCATTTAAAGGGGTCATCGGATGCCCATTTTCCACAAGTTGATATGATTCTTTAGGGTCTTAATGAAAAGTCATACTTTGGTTAAAATTTCTCAATGGTAGTGTAAAACAACACCCCTTTTTACCCTGTCAAAATCAGCTCTGTTTTCAGCAACCCGTTTTAGTGCATGTTCCTTTAAATGCTAATGAGCTCTGCTCGATTCGCGCGAACATAGACGGCAGATTGGGGATCGGCGCATTCCTTTCAAAAACAAAGCTAATCCTCTGTGTCTTCAGTGGCTCAGATGTCGGGAGTAAATGACGACTGCTATGTTCATTATTACATCCAACAACAAAACACAACCTCAATCCCTTAGGAGTCATTCTTGTCTACATCTGCTCCAGCGGTGAAACAATGGTGGACTGATGACAGCTCACTCAGGGCAGGTCTAAGGTAAAACGCTAGTGTCAATCAACAATTGTGGGAGGGGCCTGGGTCTGTGTGACGTCACACTGCCAAGAATCTGAGAACGGCTTGATTTGAGAAAGGGGAAATGATTTAACGAGATAAAAAAAAAACACTGGGTGGATCTTTATCATTATAGGGTGGTTGTGTACACACACTGCCAACACACAATTCAGTTCAAACAATGTGTAAAAGTGCATGTAGCATCCGATGACCCCTTTAAAAACTAAAGTCACTCAAAGTGCAACTCATTAGACCAAAGACTACCAGAAGAGTCACTCTTCAAGAACTGAAGAGCTCAGAAACCAAAAACACTCAAAGTATCCATGAACTCACCCTAATAATATAATGGTGGAAAAAAAGGCAAAGGCTGAAAAATCAAATTAGTCTGAGACTATTTACCTTTTTTTGGGAAACATTTTGGATTATATCCTTACCATCCAGGGAACCACAAAATCTCTTGCAAAAGACATTTAAGAATGCGATAACATCTCCATAAGCTGTTTTCATACTGAATGGATTACATACTCTTTGTTATACAGGGAACAAAATTAATTAATTATGAATATTTTGGAATATTTGACATACATTTTCCTGTCTTCTTACAGGCATCAATAAAAGCAGTTGCAGTTTGCCTGGAAATAAAGATAATTTGGCTATAAGCAAGAAATCAAGATATTGTGCTTATAAGATGACCATGACAAGAAAATAATTAAGAAAATTAGTTTTTGCAGTGGATATGGTGATCTCAGAGTCCACAATAAAACGATATTAGGGAATTTCAGACATTTGAGCTCAATGCAAATTGAAAAGCACAGACTTTTTTGTATATCTAAAAATAATTCACTAGATTTCAAGATGTTCTGTGAAAATGACTTCATAGAAAAGTTATTTTTAAAGTTTATTGATTGTACCTTGGATTGTCTTTATCATGGAATGGGCTTCATCAGAGCAGATGTTATATATAATTTGAAACCGATCAAAACCAGGCTTAGAAATGAATGAAACAAAAAATTACACAAAATCAGATGGTCTATGACAACCTACTGAATAAGAACGAATTGAATTAAATAAAATTATGCAAATGAGGTAACAGAGATATGTCCTAAACAAAATTTGCAATCGCCCATCTTGCAGAAAGATTCCGAATATTACGCTGCATCAAATCCACAATCTGCTACACTTTACTGGGCCTGTCCAGCATCACTCCACCAGTGTGATCCAGACACCTCAAATTTGTGTCCAATTAAATATGCCATCTACTCTGACAACAGTTCATAGAAGTGCAAAAGTGTGCAAGGAATTTTTAAAGAGAAATTACGCTACCCTATATGCATATTAAATAAAAAAAAAACAATAAATAAATAGATGAACATAAAACACATTCTCTTCCTTCTATCACTATGCATTATGCGGTCACTCATTGCAGAGAGAGAGGCTGTGATTGTTGTATCATGTAAGACACATTTAAAGCTGGCATGACAGTAGTACTGATGTTTTTGATGCATGCTGGAGTCCCACGGAAGGAGAAACAGGATAATATTTGTGTGGTGTGTAATTAAAGCCCTGATATGCTGATCCACTTAGGGCAGATACAACATAAATACTTCACAAAGAAGACGACGGTATTACAGAACATTACAGTGTTTGCAAGGCAGCAAAAAATAGTGTTTAAGTTTCAAATGAACATAGGTTTTAGCCTTTGTTTGTGCATAACTGAAAGACCAATCACAAACCAGTAAACAAATAAATGCATAAAAAGACCGCTCACAATTTAGTATGCAAATACTATGGTAACAATATCGTTAGCAGTTATCTTTCAAATAGTTTAGCAACGTACACCACCATTCAAAAGTTTGGCATCAGTAATATTTTTTTAATGTTTTTTGAAAGAATTCTCTTACGCAAATGTATTTTTATATAAAAAAACTGTAATATTATAAAATATTATTACAATTTAAAATAACTGTTTTCTATTCTAATATATTTTAAAATGTAATTTATTCCTGTGATCAAAGCTGAATTTTCAGCATCATTACTCCAGTCTTCAGTGTCACATGATCCTTCAGAAATCATGCTAATATGCTGATTTGCTGCTGATTATTAATGTTAAAAATAGTTGTGCTGCCTAATATTTTTGTGGAAATGTTTTTTTTACTAGATTCATAAAAAGTTCAAAATACAATAATGTAACAATGTACATGATATAATAATTACTGTCACTTTTGATCTATGTAAAGATTCTTAGCTTAATATTGACACCAAACTTTTGAATGGTAGTGTAAGTCCATCATTACTCCAGTCTGCAGTGTCACATGATCCTTCAGAAATCATGCTAATATGCTGATTTGCTGCTGATTATTAATGTTAAAAATAGTTGTGCTGCCTAATATTTTTGTGGAAATGTTTTTTTTACTAGATTCATAAAAAGTTCAAAATACAATAATGTAACAATGTACATGATATAATAATTACTGTCACTTTTGATCTATGTAAAGATTCTTAGCTTAATATTGACACCAAACTTTTGAATGGTAGTGTAAGTCAGTGGGACATTTCTGAATTTTAAATTAATTATTTGTATTTTTTATTTTAACAAAAACATCACTTAAACCTGAAATGATCTATAAGCCAAAGTTTTAAATGTAGTCTGTATGATGAATGGTTTGCACTTAATTGCAGAAAATTAAGAAGCATAAGAAGAAGAAGAACTTAACTCGACCTCATCTTGCAAACACTGTAAAAAAAAATTACTGAAACAATGCCTATTTTAAGAAGAGCTCAAAATTCTGAAAAGTGAATTTGATAAGTAAATCTTTACATCCTATTAAGATAATATAGTGCATCCAGGGTTTTTGTGTCACAGTACATAAATAGTTTAAAATTATTAATTGTCAATCAACATCCACTCTGAAATGGTTAAAGTATTAAGAATCCAAGAGGGACAAACAGAAAAACAGGAAGGACCTCGTCCTCTCGCTCCTTATTGTCTCATAATCCAGATAAGCTTAGTCTGAGAGCAGCTGCTGCCTCCCTGATATCTATTTCATTTCTTCCACGGTCTCTCAAATGAAGACAAGCCACCAGAGCATCAGCGTCAGGACCAGCAGGCTGCTCAGCAGGAGGGAGACGCGGGGCCGATGCAGTACCACTGGGTACAGCTGGCAGACACGGGCCGGTTCCTCTGTGGACACGGCTATGGAGACCTGGACGCCATGTCCCTGAGCCTCAAAGTCTTTTTCTTCATTGCAATCATCATCATCTTCTTCATCCTCCTCCATATGCTGCAGCAGCGGCGGGCCTCCTGGTGTGGGCGCCCACCTGACCCTTACCTGCTGTCGCCTGGACGTGCCTGCTGCCCGCTTCCATCTCTGCACAGGGCAACGGGACACCAAGAGAGACACAGAACAATGAACAGACATGTGGAGTGGGGAGAGACATGGGGAGAGATTGATGAGGGGTAGTGGAGATTTCTGGGTGAGTCTGAAGGGTCCAGGCTCAGGATCTGAGCTTAGAGATTAAGCGGGCCAGATGGATTGAAGCAAAGGCCTTATGGGTTTTTATGGTGTTGATGGACACTGGATTGATATTAAGATTGGCAGCAGACATTGTTTTGGCAGTGTAAATATCCGTCAGTGACAGCAAAACACCATAAAAACCGGCAGGGTTCGGGTGGGACGGGCCACTAAGCGAAATCCTCAGTGGATCAGATCAGTGGATGTGTCTGTCACAGAACTAGACTCACAGTTTACTACATCCACAAAGAATAAACAATCATTGCTAACTAAGGTTCGGAATTGGTTCCATTTTTAATGTTTGTTTCTTCCAATGAATACTTTTAAATACTGAACAGAGAATATGAGTGAATCTGTAGCACCACAGCCAAAGAAACTGTTTTAGTTGAGAGTTTGTGGTCTGAATCGAATATGATAAAAGACAGAGTGCTTAAATGGACAACCTAGCTTTATATTGCAATGTTCTTGCTGGCTGCACGCAACAACATGTAGCACAATCGGTGTAGACTGATTTACGAACAAATGACTCTTATGAACTGGTTCTTTTAGGTGAATTTATCAAAAAGACTCACAAATTAACTTATGAGTGATCAGACTAATGACTCACTAATTGAATTGGTCAGGGGTGTGTTTCCCATACAACTGCATAGCTCGCTGCTTAACTATCATAGTATGATGCATCATTGGAGAATTTAACTGGCTAGTCACGACTTCTTCCTGAAACCATAGAAGCTCTGTCACCCATCTGTTGTCTGAACCATGTTGGTTCAACAAAATAGAGCTGTAGTTAATGACACCAAACAAGAGGTGGAGTGCTATTTAATTGGTTCGTTCTTAAATTAATATCAGATTCTTGCTGTAAATAAAGAACAAGGCATCTGAGGACAAGGTTAGATATTTGTTTTTCTTTATTTAGTGATGTTTGATTCAGTTGCATATTCCCTCTTACATCATACTCCAGGGTTTTGCATGGTACTAGGGCAGGGATCCTGAAATCTGGCTTGCGAGATCCACTTTCCTGCAGAGTTTAGGATCTAACCTAATCAAACACACCTGAGCATGCTAATCAATGTCTTCAATGTCATCATTGGAAAATCACAGGTAGGTGAGTTTGATCAGGGTTGGAGCTAAACTCTGCGGGAAAGTGGATCTTGCGAGACAGATTTGAGGATCCCTGTACTAGAGCAATTATGTTCATGTGTACATTACATACAGTCTTTAAAAACTGTGCTTTCATTCTTTTGACCAACTAAAAGATTTTAGTTGAAATATGTATAAACTATGTATGGAATGAAAGATACAGATTGCATATGTTAGCTTGCTTATTTTGCTCAAGATCTATTTAAGTCCACATGTCATACTAGCAAGAAACTATGCTTCTAACCACAGGTCGAGAGCTGATTGTAAATCTTTGTAACTATAGCTCAACAACAAAATTGTTGAACTGTTAATAACGAAGCTAACTCACAACCTTAGTTGGCTAAGAATGCTTTTGGGAAACACACCCCAAACACACACTTACGGTACTGGACCATTTACATGACAGCGATATATTAAAAAATTAGTAAAGTTTTTCCATCCCGTTTTTGAAAAGATCCCAGTTCATACAGATCCATGAAAACAACTAAAAACGCTCTATTATTCATGCCAGGCCAGTAGTTGGCGATGTTATTTGGCCTGCGCACATACCTATAGACTGAACACGTAATACGCATGTGCATGACATCACCATTTTCACAAATCTGTGTTTTTGTCATTTACACAGAGACGATAATGGTATCATTTTCAAAACTTGCCATTTTTACCCCATTTTCAAAAGTTTGTGTTTTTAGGCCCCCAAACACCGTTGTTGTGTAAATTAATGGCCAAAACAGATAAAAAAGGTTTCAGTTTTTAGTTGAAAATAGTGTTGTGTAAACATACTCTAAATCAAGTAATTACTTCTGTCATCTGAATTTTTAATTGAAACATGAGACGTGGATGTTAATTCATGCCGTGTATTACAAAAAATGCTTTACGAAAGAGATTACTATAATAAACCATAATTTCATTTTAAAAAACTGTTTACGATTTTTGTTTAATCTATATTTAAGGCCAATTATGGGGAATTATTTCTGATAATTTGCAAATTAATCATTAATTGAATGATTAAACTAGAACTGTTCGATGGAATCAAAACAAGCATCTTTCCATTTCTTACTAGGGCTGTCAAAAAAAATCGAATTTTGAATATTCGTCGAATTTAAAATAAAAATCCACATTCGAATGCAAAAACGTTGCATTCGAATTTTATGTGTGCGTCAGGCAGCCTTATCAGTGGTGCACAAGATGCGATGACGATGTAAGTGTCGTTGCATTTTAATGTTTTTCTTAGTCTATCCAGTTGAACCCACTAGATGCGGCGCTGCTACGTTGTTCATTCAAAATATTGCGTGAAAGAGAACATCAATGCGGAGAAGATCTTGTTTACGTCAAAACTGAAACCAAGCCGTTCACACAGAACACATTTATCGCATTTTCTAGAGGGACATCTATCACCTTTGTGTACCGTAATATAAGTTCAAATTTTAAAAAAAATGTCTCGAGACTTTATGCCAGTTTTTCCCCATCCCAATCAATCTCATGTTTTTAAATGAAAAAGTACACTTTGTGATTGGTTTTCGGTCCTTTGTATTAAACTATACTTATATACATGATGCTGTTTTGTTTATAGTTGTTTAAGCAACTTAATTAATTATATATGGTTTATAAACATTAAACATTATGCACTTTTTTCAAAGATATTCGCATTATTTTATTGCTTTGAAGAAACGTGCATTAGTAATATTTTGCTCGATGCGCCCTCTTGTGGCCACAGGAGAGAAGCCAAAAGCTTTTTTTCCCCCTAACTGAAATTATGCCTTTTAAATTCGAATAGAATTCAAATATGGATAATATTTAAGTACAAAATTTGAATTTAGTTTTTCAGCCATTTTGACAGGCCTATTCCTTACAAAGTCCATGTCTAGAGCTAACACAGAGACGTTCAATGCTGGACATGTGCTTTTGAAATCTATTGAGAAACAAAACAGACACCGAATTTTAAATACAAGGGCACGCTGTTTAGACAGAATTTGAGAGAATTTGAATTGGAATTCATTTTGAATTGAAAGGAGTGTGTGATATGGCAGTTTAGTGTGTTCAGGTCTGAGACTGGTACATGATGTAATAGGCCTCAGCAGAGGAGGGCCGCGGGGAGAGAGAACGCGCCCCTCTCTGGGCGCTTCTAGACACTCCTGCTTGTGGAGAGGAGGAAGATCGAGGTGGAGATGGAGCTATAGATGAAAGTGGAGGAGGACAAGACTGCGATCCAGGACAAGACTTTTGCAAGGAGAGTTGGAGGAGAGTAAACAAAGGGAAGGAAAGGATGGACAACCAGTGAAGGACAGGAACAAGAGGAAAAAAGGGGGAAAAGACAATTAAATGAAGAGGAGGAGGCGTCAGTTTCTTATTGTTTGCTTTTCCTATTTCCTTTTTTACTACTTTCTCCTTTTAGACCTACTTTGGTTGTCAATAAACTAACAGACTCATGCAACATCATTACGCAGTGTAATCCAGCCATTCGATTCGCAGATCAAAGCAGAGGAAAGCCGGCGCTAGCCATTCAGAGAGCAGCAGCAGTAGTAAAGGGGCGTGGCTTTGGGAGCGGGCGTGGTCAGGGGGTCTATAAAAGCCGCGGCAGTGAGCAGATTCAGAGAGAGAGGAAATCTCCTACTCTGATTGGGCCATGACCATAGCATCCAACGGCCATTTGAGCTTCTGCTTGTGTCGTTCTTTATCTACATAAAGAAACGTCAGTCTTTTCAGGTGCAGATGCTTCGCAGCCCTGGCAGTAATGACCAAATGAGAGTACGTTTACCTCCGATATACCCCCCGCTACTCTGTATACGGGTAGGAGAGGAGGCGTCTTCACCTGTGTCCACACGTGCCCACACACACACACACACACACACACACACACACTAATCAGCTATGCTCAGACACTGTGAGGCTATGAATATTCATGTCAGAGAGGAGGCTTTGTGATTGCCCAAAACAAATGATCCATGTGTGCACAGACAGATTGTGATTAATGAGCTCGAGAGAGAGAGAGACAGATCAGCTGATCTTTATTCACATAACTACAGACTTCGGAAATAAAACAGATCTGTGTCTTGGTGCCCAACAGAACATCTGCGAGAACGAAACACTTTCATGACAAACCATCCCTCATCATCTACATCAGACTTCAGACGGACAGCTGACACTTAAAAATAAACAATGCCAAGATGTTTGTCTGTCTCTTTAATTTTTGACCGAATACTTTTAAAGAGATAGTTCACCCGAAAATGAAAATTATGCCATCAATTACTCACCCTCATGTCGTTTACAATTCCTCTGATTGTAAACAAGGTGCTGTGTTTTCTTTTCTTTGCGCACAAAAAGTATTCTTGCAGCTTCATAACATTACGGTTGAATCAATGACGTCACATGGATTATTTTAACTATGTCCTTACTACCTTTCTAGGCCTTTCACCTGGTAGTACACTTGCTGTCTATGCAGGGCCAGAAAGCTCTAGGATTTCATCGAAAATATCTTAATTTGTGTTCTGAAGATGAACGAAGGTCTTACAGGTTTGGAACGACATGAGGGTGAGTAATTAATGACAGAATGTTCTTTTTTGGGTGAACTATCCCTTTAAGCATCATTCAAGTTACAAGCTACACAAGTGTGTAACATTTAAGATCACAGGTTAGTAGTTTGAAACTGCTATGTGGCAAACTAATAACAAATGAAAAGCATTGTGGTATAGTTAAGACACTATGGTTTTGTTCCAAACTCTAGTGAGCTGCTAAGCTAGACATTTTAAAGTGGAAATGAAACATTTATTAGAAAACAATCTTATTTTCCAAATTTCTACCTAGCCATCTAGCTAGCGAGCCACCATGTTGGAGTGACATTGCTATCTACGTAGTGGTGTTGGTTAGCTCAGATAAAAACAAATAGAGCATATAACTTGCCCAACTCAAAGTCTTCTCCTCTACACATGTACATGAGAAAGTTTGAAATCTTTGACCAGTGTCTGCACTTTTTCTTTCCAAAAAGGTATAAGGGATAAAAAAATATATCTGTACTCATTTAAACTAGAGTTGTGTTGGTATCTTTTATTACCCTCATACAAGCACTCGTCAAACAGGCATCTATTGTCGAATGCGCGAGTCGAGTGTACAGAGTATGTACGGTTAGAAAAATCTTGCTTCATATGTACAGTACAATGCTAATGTTAAAATTCGCATCACACGCACTGTACACATAGCCTAGCATACATGTAAAAACCAAAGTGTATATTCGGCTATAGTCAGCAACATTATTCTGCCTCCACAGATACCTTGTTTGGCAGAATTTTAAGGTAACATTCTATATATCATTTCCAAAAAAGGAAATCCAGGAATGCATTGCAATAAGGTTTTCAATATGTATTAAAGCATTGTGTCTGTAGCTTAGCAACGTTAATATCAGCTCTATAACAATCAAATAACAATAAAAGGCACAATATGTAAGATTTTTTATTAAAATATCCAAAAACCATTAGAACAGTGTTATATATTTTGCTGACTTGTGTACTTACATTATCCCAAATGTTTCAAAGAAAGAAGACCACAACTCCCATGATTCCACACTCAGTCACGGTGTCATCAAACTATGCCTTTGTTTCAGTCTAGCGGCGAAAACTTACATATTGTGCCTTTAAGTAGCACTATTTTGTATGGTTTTGCTGGAGCTTACTTAAAAAGCTAGTCTGGCAAAGCAGCTCACTATGGTTTGTGAAAAAAAAAATAGAATTTCTGTTTTTAAATCATTAATTAATCTCTTCTAAATGCTAATTTGTTATTAGGAGGAGAGAGATGAGGTGGTGATCATGTGAGCACTTCAGAAGTTTTACCATTACATAAACTGTTCAAGCTCCAGTGTGAACAAAGCCTGGGTTCAGACATGGGTCAAATGACTAGATTCTGATCTCTACGCAAGCTGTTTCAAAAACTGGTCTAAATCAATGCAAAACTAGTGTACTAAATAAATCATATGCTGTCACCATTCGCTGCAGCATATGATGGATATTTGTCCCATGTCTGCTGATTTATGAAACAAAGCAGAGTGCAAAACAGTGCTTGGCTCAAACACCAACAGCAATCTTAAACACTTAATATAATAATAGTGTATGTGATGGACACATAGTGTTATATATGAAATTCGGTTAGATACAGAGGTCACAGGGTTAGAGAAGAGGTCAGTGGGTAGGTGAAGGGGTTAATGTCACAGAATCCATCTGGGTTTCAGACTCATCAGACCTCACAACAGTGGAAACAGCCTTTGTAGTAACTATGTAAATATATGACTGGGACAGGCTGTACAGATTGTATACTGTGTAACACTACAAATCAGTAATATTATAATCATGTGATCTGGTAACAAATAAAACAATAAAAGCATGCATTAGCAAGCTAAATGTACAGCCAATGATTATATATCTGTCTAAACAGTAGTCTTCAGTATATTTATGGGCTTGTCACAGTGTTTAACCCTGGGTAAACATCTTTTTAACCCAGGCTAAAGGCCACTTTAACCCTGAGTCATGAAATCCTGTATTAGAAGCATGTCGGCATGTTTTTTGTTGTGCTAAACTCCAATCTGTGGTGCCAAACAGCATGAAACAATGTGGTGCTAGAAAGTTACATCAAGCAGTTTAGCAATTAAAAACCAATCGTAAACTAAACACAGGGTTATAATTGGGTTATTCATTTAAAGTGTGAAAAGCCCATTAGAAATATTTAGAAAAGGTAAAACAGGCAAGAGTCTACTGTAAAAATTAAACAAAGGCATTCATGCTAAGAGCCTAACATGCTCTAAAAGGCATCAAACGTTGCTTCAATTAAATAACATTTACACAAAATTGTACTCATTAAAAAGCTTTTTTATGCGATCCAACTAATGGCTACATTTTTGGATCGGCTCAATTTTGCATACAATTAAAAACAAAAAAAAGCATTTAATATAAAAGAAGCAAAAAAATAATAATTCCCAATCATATATTTAATAAAATAGTGCTAAGCAAACAGAGAATAAATAGAAGCGAGTACTTGCATTACAGTTAGTGAGGTAAATAGTGCATGCCAAGCCTTTAGGGTTAAGCTACAAAACAAACCAAAACACAAGAGAGAGAGTGCGGTGAGAAGAATGAAGAAAGAAACAAGATGAAACAGAATCTCATGCAGTGATACATGCAGCAGCAAAAACAAGACATTTCCAGAGTTTCCATACAAACCTCCAACATTAAATTGCTATGTCTGATATAAACAGTTTCACCCTCAATTTTCTTAGCTCTTTTCTGTGAAGAACAGAGAAAAAATAGAGTTGGCAGTGTTTTGAACGTTGAGAAAGTCGTGAAATGATTCTTGGGTCATTTTGAAGGTTTGATCTGCAGTTGCATTCAGTGTGTGGGGACGTGTAGGGATGGAGACAAATCAAATATGGATGAACCGCAGCAGCCGCAGCTAGACAGAGAGGAGAGGTCAGAGGTCAGGGGTGACTGCGAGGTCAGGGATAATTGTGCAATGGGTAAAGTTATGAAAGTGTAATGAGGTATCAGTTTAAAATTAAACATCTCTTTGCCATTATTGGTGAAACACTGTGTATTTGCTGTGCAACTCTCTGGTGTTATCAAAACAGCATCCTGACTATCCTGACCAAGCAACACTGGCTTAACCTGTGCAAATCTTGTCTTGCTGTAAGATGTATATCAGTGACTTTGTCCATAATTTTGTGATGATCAGTAAAACCACACTACCAGTCAAAGATTTGGACATACGTGACTGAATATTCATTTCTGGTGGGCTTTGATCTAGTGAAAAAAGAAGTGTGCTTATTGTATTGAATGTGCATTTGTAGTGTACTTCAAATCTCAATATATTTCAGTATATATATATATATATATATATATATATATATATATATATATATATAAAAAACTTATAATAATGAAATAAAAGGCCACCTAAGTGTACTTTCATATGTTTCTTAACACTTTTTAAAAGTGCACTTTATAATAAGGTCAAATTAAGTTTTACTGTAAAGTGCATTTTAAATTTTGGAAATGATCTTTTGTTGTGCTTATCTACATTTCTGAACCAAGTGATGGTGGTCATAGACATATGCAATGTATTGTGTGTTGTAGCTTTATCTCTAGCATATGGTTCTGTGTAAAAAAGTAGCCAATCATGTATAATCTAGGCCTGTTTGAAAGGTATTTCTACTGGTTTTGAGAATGACACACTGCGTGTACAGTCAAGCGAGAGCACATCTTTAGAGAGCCTATCTGTATTAGAGAAGAGACCCATTGCGCTGATTTCTTCTTTTCTGCCAGTGTTACCATTGCAAAAGCATCCAACTACACAAAAAGATCAATACTTCAGACACTCGCAAACTGAGGAGGCATTCACCTCTTCCCTCCCACATCCTCCCTAATGCCTGACAACTTTGCCCATTTTTCACACATACAGTAACAATCAGCAGCAGGCAATTCTCAACACAACAAACTTAACAAACACCCACGACTCACATGCAAATCTCTATTCTCCTCTTATGGAGGCAGAGGTCTCTAAAGTTCTCCTCTCCAACCATCCTACCTCCAGCCCCATTGATCCAAATCCCTCCCATCTTTAATATGCCATCTTTCCTACACTTTAACCTGCACTCACATCCATCATAAATGCATCACTACGCACTGGCATTCTTCCCAACACATTCAAGCTGACTTGTGCAACCGACGCTAAATACCAGACCACCTGCAGACTAGTCTCTCCTCCAGTTCACTGCGAAAAACACTTGAGCACGATGTTTTCTTCTTTCTTCCCACAGAACAAGCTGCTGGACAGCAAATCAGTGAGGATTTGACTTGATTGACTTGATTACAAAGTGGACATTCAACAGATACATCCTTGACTGAAGCCTTTGTGGGTGGAAAAGACATAATCCGTCTTCATTTTGTTGAACTTGTATGCTGCCTTTGACACTGTCTCTTTTCTAACTTCTCCCATTTGGGCATCACAAACAAGCAGAGAAAGGCTCCTAAGTCCTACCTTACAGGTCGATTCTTCAGGGGATCATGAGGTATCAACTAACCATAGGGGTACTGCAGGGTTCAGTGCTTGGCCCCTTCTCCTTTTTAATATATACATTTATACTACTGGGATCATCCAGGATGTGGGTTTTTTTAGGAAAACAGGTATGTCCAAACCTCTAACTGGTAGTGTATATAAAGTGCAAACATCTGATTGATTTTGTTCTGCAGTTCTGTTATACAATATCAGCATGTTTCAGTTGACAGATCTAAAGTTTTGAACAAGCTTTAAATTTGAACAAGTTTTAAATTACTTCTCAATGTCTATAAATTGAAAGTCTGATTTAAAGTTTTTCTTTCAATTATTACTTATCTCAGTTAGTTTTAAAGTTGGAGTAACTCAGGTTTGAAGCAGGAGAACACAGTTTATCTTCTAAAAACGATTTTGTCTATGTAAAAGACAGAGCATGACAGGGGACAATGCATGCTAGAGTAAATGCCACAATAACAATGCAGAAGTTCATTTGAACTTCACTCATAATGAACACTTTCCTCATTCCGTAAACTTCAGTTTGTACTGACTCACTGTCGCTGCCTGAATAGGTTCATATCTGACAGCTACAGTGCTGTCTGGTACAGCCAAACTCATACAAGTGCAAGCAAGATACAGCCAAAGCAGAAGAGAAAACAATAATAAAATGATCTTTTTGTTGTAAAACATGGGCAGTGAGGAGATGATGAGTACAATGGCATTGTCCTCATGCTGCGATACCCATACGGAACGAGCTCTGACCTTCCTCATGCGCACCATCTCTGTGTCCGCCCGTGGCGACTGTTCAGACCCCAGAGGGGAAGGAAGAGAGCATGTAAGTGTTTATGAAACGAGCTACTTTGCTACTCACTTACCAGTGAAAAAGCTTGATTCACAATGGTAGTAATTTCTTTACAGCTGTACATGTATGTCTTATAGTATGTAATATTGTCAGAATGCTCTAATATATAGTTTAACACAAATATCTGCTGATGATCTATTATTGAAAGTCATATTACTGCTTTTGCAATTGATCCTTCGCTAAGCCCCACCTTAACATTTCTGACCAATCCAACACTACATTTTACATTTTACATTTATGCATTTGGCTGACACTTTTATCCAAAGCGACTCACATTGCATTTAAGGTACAAGTCTCTTATGCTCTCCAAGGCTACATTTATATGATCAAAAATACAGTAAAAACAGTAATATAGTGAACTATTATTACAATCTAAAATCACTGTTTTCAGTATATATAAAAATTAAATTTATTCCTGTGATGCAAAGCTGAATTGTCAGCAGTCATTACTCCAGTCTTCAGTGTCACATGACTTTTCAGAAATGCTCATTTGCTGGTCAATTATTAATACAATTTCTTATTATCAATGTTGGAAACATTTTGTGCTGCTTAATATTTTTGTGGATTTTTTATTTTTTTTTGTCTTTAATGTTGTGTCTTGACAAATAAAAAGTATTCATTTATTTTTTTTTAAACCATGCTTACCCTAAACTTTTAAGTGGTAGTGTATCAAAAAATATTAAGAAGCGATATTGATAACATTGATCAACATCAATAATAATCATAAATCTTTCTTGAGCATCAAATCAGCATACTGGGATGATTTCTGAAGGATCATGTGACACTGAAGACTGGAAGAATAAATTACATTTGAAAATATATTTTCAATTTTACTGTCTTTGCTGTATTTTTGATCAAATAAATGCAGCCTTGATGAGCATGAAGAGACTTCTTAAGACACTGAACAATCTCAATTATTGCAAACTTTTAAACAGTGTATGTGTAACAAGGTATATTAACGTTGATAACTTAACATACTGCTTTTACATATATAGAAGACTGTAGTTGTGGGACATTTTGTAAAACTTGTCTGAGCGAGAAAAAGTAATCAAAAAAGGTGAAGCTTAGTGATTGGCCAACTGTCTAAAATGTTTTTGCATATAATAACAAAATGAAGGTGGCCACTAGGGTAAATCACTGTTGTACATGCTCTTATGTGATTGGCTGAAATCATGAGCACAAACCTGGCTCTTTCTCTCCCCATTGGTGGCCGTCACCACCGGGGCATCACGGTGTCGCCGTTCTCGCCGGGCTACCGTCTGCAGCAGCACAGAGAGAGTACACATACTCCTGCTGTCTCACACAGACCTAAATATCATGGCTGTCTTGCATTTGTGGTCACAAGCGAAGATGCATTTTGTTGCTAATTTGCGCTGGTTTTTATGTCGAGCTTGGTGAGAATAAGCCGTATTGCTTTATGAACACGTAGTCCAACAATTAAAAAGTCAGGTAGAAGTCTGTGCTGCAGGTTTATAAAAATAGGTTCATCCATAAACATTTGCTTAAATTGTGTTTAAGTCTCCAGTGCTTTTAGCTGTACTAACACATAGAATAGGGGGGAAATGTAGACTCTAAAATGATCTAAAACAAAATATAATTTTGTTTAAACAAAAAATAAATATTATAAATTATTATTTAAAATATATTTCCATTAATTTCACATTGAAAAACTAAAGTATAAATATTTGAGTGTTATTTAGCACATTTGTGTGTGTCATACCTTGATTTCAGGTGTGCCCTCTGCTTTGGTGCTGTGTGTTTTGGAACCACCTGTCACATGGGCCTCTGCCTTCACCTCACTCTTCCTCTCAGTGGAGCGTGGACGGCCCGTGGGCGTGGATGTCTCTTTACGGTCAGTGTGGGCGGCAGATGCTACTGGGGAAGGAGCCATGTCGCCTGGGGAGATGGGAGACATGATGGGAGCGCTGACGGGACGGGCGTTCTTATCTGGGATCGAGACCATGGCTGTCAGAGAGAGATGTATGGGACAGAGGAGAAAGAAAGAAATGTTACACTTAAGTCATGGACTAAAAATAAATATTCACTTTAACATACTGTAGACAATGTCAATTGTTTGAGTTTTGCCTGCTGTAAAACCAGTTCAGGTGTTTGCTGTGCAACTCTGATGAGAAACATGGTTCAATTTTAAGGCCATCAAACATAGTAATACACATTCTTGGCCTTATTGTGATTATTATAGGATAAAGCAATCCTAAATCGTTTGCAAAAAGCAACTACCCTTGTGAAAAAGAACATACTTATGTGAGAACTATACTGTTCAGACATTTAATTGCATGTTAACTAAATATAAATGAAAATGTATTACATATTAATTAATACTACATGCAATTAGCTGAATGAACGTCACAGTGCTTTTTGATTCACTTAAGTAAGACTTAAGTACATCTTTATATGAAACTTAATATAATTATTCTATTGTATTGAAATATGGTTAAATTGTACTGCTGGATGTACAAGGATATTTGATAAACTAAAATATCTGTCATTTCTATTGAAATTTGTATGTATGTACAGAAAATATATTATATATTAACTTAAATGTTATACTGAAAAACACACTACAATTAAAATCAGTTAACACATTAAAATAAGCATACTTCTTTGAATCAGAACAAAATATTATTAAAACAGATTTTTAAAGTATTTTCATTTTTATATTATTACAAAGTTCACTTTTTAAAAATGTACTTAAGCGTGTTAAGAAACAAGTGTGTTTAAAAATGTACTTAAGCGTGTTAAGAAACAAGTGTCTCTTAAGTTCACTTAAGTGGCCTTTTATTTCCTTAATATTATATTAATCTGCACGTACATTTTTTTTTATTTACTTTTGAGATTTGAAGTACACTACAAGTGCACATTCAATACAATTAAGCACACAAGGGCAAGTTAAACTCAACTCAAAATGTAAAAATATCTCCAGGATCATGTAAACAGTAACAAATGCTGTTGTTTTTTGTAAGAGCTGAATGTTTCGGAGGAAAGAAGATCAAGCTGAGGGGATAAATCTCTACCTCTGGTCAGATGGGTTTCAGAAAGAGTGCAGCCCAGGAGCACAAACCAATCAAACTGAACTGTTTCTTTCCATGATATATATTTTTTAGTTTCGGCTCTAGGACCTTCATGCCTTTTGAACTGATCAAGCTCCTGTCAGATTGTGGGAGATGCTCTGGGCTAATACTGACCTGCCAATCAAAGACAACTCCAACAAACATAAGAACAACTGCTTAGGTACTCTGAACCTCACTCTGCATGGACTTTAATGTCGTCACAGGTGCATTCTGGGAGTTGTGTTTCACAAAAATGAACAATACCAAGCTTAAAAGCTTCAGGAAGCAACTTGTCAAGCAAACTGCTAATCAAAACAGCAATCTGTCTTGCTTTTCCTTCTACAAGTATTTCAGAGCGGGCCGCTTGCTGATTGCATTAACTGACTATGTAGGATTCATGGAGTTTTTATGTAAATAACCTACAGTCTGCAGAAAGTAATTAAATCTGTGTCCGTGTTCTACCTGAGGGCTGAATGGTTAAATTATCAGTGGGTTAACCAGGGTTGTTTTTCTGGATCGCACCCCTGCTGTGATTTCTCTCCCACAGTGAGTTCACCTGCACTGCCTAAAGCAAGCACGGTTTATTTATACCTCAAGAAATCACCTCCACTTTACCTCAGAGACACTCTGGCTCCGTTCCAAACTCTAGTGAGCTGTCACTGTCCACACAGGCTGCTGCCTTAATCGAAATGCAACCTCAAGAGACGCTCTCCATAGGTACCAACTCTGAACAGCTGATTCCAATGGGGTAACACTTTATTTTAAGGATCAATTCTCACTATTAACTAGTTGCTAATTAGCATACATATTACTAGCATACTGGCTGTTTATTAGTACTTATAAAGCACATATTTATGCCTTGTTCTGCATGACCATATTCTAGATCCCTCAAACCACCCCATACCTAATCTTAACAACTAGCTTATTAACTATTAATAAGCAGCGAATTAGGAGTTTGTTCAGGAAACACTCTTAGTTAACAGTGAATATGTGTTCCCTATTCTAAAGTGTTACCGATTAAACAAATATTTCTAAATATTATAAAAGCTATCATTTAAAATGCAATGCTTCTTGACTAGCCTTGTAAAAAAAAAAATGTTTAATTAATTAAATACTGAATGTGTATGTTATAGTGTACTTCAAAGCTTAAATTATATATATCTTTTAAATTATTTGCATGTAATCTAATATTATTAAAATAAAAGGCCACTTAACTGCACTTAACAGAGAGACATGTTTCTTAACACACTTAAGCACACTTAAAAAGTTGACTTTTTATAATAATGTCAGTCAAAATTAAGTTTTGATTAAAATACATTTTAAATCATTGTGTTTTAATCTATTGCTGTATTCTAAAGTACATTGTGTTGACTAAAATCACATGTAAAGTACTTGATTATAACTGATTTAACTAATTAAAATAACTAATTTTAACTGTAGTGTGTTATTCAATATTACATGTAAAGTTAGTATATTTTAAATGTAAAAACTAAAAGTTTTAACAGAAATGTCAAGAAAAGTATATTTAGTTTATCATAAATGCTTGTCAGTACATTCAGCAGTTCACATATTTACAGCAGAAGTGCATTTGAAAGTACATATGTACCTACTTAAGTTCAGCTAATTGCATTTAATAAAAAAAACTACAATACATTTTTATTTAATTGCAGTTAACTGTGCAAAAACATTACATAATACATTCAGTTCACATTTAAGTTTATTCTTTTAAAATACATTATTTCTGTTATTTCTGTCAAGTGATAAACGGGAAAAGTATGCTAAACGTGTATTTTTTTCACAAGGGTCTGAGATTTTTTTTTTTCCCCATCAAGTATGAAATGCTGTTTTGGAATTCAGCTAAATGGAGGCATCCTATAGAGCAGCATGAGTGTGAAATGGACATGACACACAGTTTGAATCACATTTCAGAAATACACTACTGTCAACATGACTTAGCTAAAATTTCAGGCACAAAATGGCCAGCAGGGGTTAAAACCTACGCTTGAGGACTTAGAAAGCTGTCCAGCATCAGGTTGTTAGTGAGTAGAGCAGCCTGAATACTGAGTCTCTATCTGTCCTTCAGCCCAAAGCCAGCAGAGACAAATGACTTCTGCTCACAGCTAAAATAAAAACAGATGCTTGCAGCACAGCTTACATAAAGAGTCTGAACCTCCCCATGGGAAGTGCATTAGAGAACTGGAGAAACGGAGATTGAAAGAGAAAATAGGATCCCAAACAGAGCAAAAGCGAGAGTCAGACTTGTGATCGAAGTCCCCGAGGTGACTGGCAGTGATTGGCCAGAATCCAACAAAGAGGGCCAATCATCTGCCTCTATTTTCAACCTAACCAGCTGTATCCATACACAATCAGAACAGACTAAAGTAAACGGCAAAAAGAAAGGGAAAAAGAAAAGACTTCATTTTGATAGTCCACTTTAAACATTCTGCTGACTATAAGTAACTGCAACTTCTACTAACCCTAACCTACTAATAGTCTAATGACTGCTAGTTGACATGTAGTTGCAAAGTTACTTACAGTTAGTAGAATGTCTAAAGTGGACTATCGAAATAAAGGAGAATAAACACACCTCCATCTAAGCTGCGAGACGCCCTCTTACTGGCGGAGCGCTGGAAGTGCGGAGCGGGTCTGTCGATCATGGAGCTGGCCTGGCGGGTCTGGGCTTGAGTTCGGCCGCTGTAGCGGAACTTCGATCCCAGAGCCAGGAACTTCCTGGGAGTGGTGGCCGCTTCTGTGGACGTCAACCTGAGACCACAGAGTTCACGTCTCTTCATAATGTACTGGACTTATGAATTCACAAAAACACACAGCCATTAAGATGGGAATACATGCTGTGATGTGTTGTTTGATATTCATACCTGAAGAATGTGTGATGCTCCACACACACTTTCCACAGTTTCTTGGCGGCCTTGTAGTTGGGCAGTTTAAAGCCAATGGCACTTTCGTAATGTTCCAGCTAAAAAAAAAATAAAAAAAAATGATGAAATACCATTTTGAATCTAATAAAAAAAGATATTTAGTATATGTGAGTATATATGTGCACCTTCTTGCACATAAAGATGTCATGTTTAATCTTTGATTTTAATTTCCAGTTAATTGTACTGAGTGAAAAAAGACAAATCAATACATTATAAAATGCACAATTTAAAAGGTTTTATCAATGTACGTATGTTTCAAACATCAATATCTGGATAAAGTTATGAAACAATTAAATTATTTAAAAAAATTAAGAAGCTGTCATATTGTTTTTTAATATGAAGTTTGATTACATTTTCATATTTAATTGTATTTAAAAGAACAGAAATTAGCTATACAGATTTTTAAAATGTACAAATTATTTTGGAATACTAATAAATAAAAAATAATTGTTAAACATTTATTTTAAATAATGTAAAATAATTATATTAACAATTAATTATAATTAGAAAATAAAATTATAAAATGAAAACAAATTATTAAAACATATATATTTAAGTATTATACAGTATA